GTTATAATTCTGGATTACTCTGCTGTTTTAGCCCCTACAGCCTCAAGTTATGATTACAGATTAGCAGCAGCAACGTTCACAAATATATGCACATGGCAGAAATAAATCCAGGTGTTATGGGTTTGATAGCAAACTGGTAGTTTTCAATACAGCCGGTCAGAACAACATTCTTTTGTCGACCAAACAAGTGTTGTTTTAGCTATGGCTATTCAAACTGCCCCCTAGACTTCTTTAAGCAAGGAGTGTTGCACCTTGTGAATCCGGAGAAATGACTGGAGAATGTACGTGCATATGGGTTCACAAAGTTATTCTGTTGTGCGGGAATAAATCACAGTATATCCTAACTCTCGTTAAAATGGATGGTCCTTTTCTGTCGTACAGGTTTTGGACCATAACATTCCTTTCAGACAGATTTTGGGGAAGTAATGGCATAGTGGATTGACGCTTGGCTTAGACATTTAGAGACATCGTGTTGAAACTCCAGTGCAATGTAAAGTTTCTTCCTAACTGTTAATTCCTTGGAGCAAAATATTCACCCGCTGTCCCCTGATCCAGCCTGCGGGAGAACAGGAAACGAGTCATTGACCAAGAAACAGTGGGGTTAAAGTTCTGTTCTGATGTGGTATGAGAGAGCATGCGATGCGCACTACATAATGTGAGACTGTGATTGCTATGACGTTTTGACTCAAATGATTGTTGGTCAGATTAGCGTATTATTTAAGCTGTAATTCGCTTCTGATTCGCACTGTCGAATTTAAGGAAATGTTTCGTAAAACAGTGAACGATGGTAAGCCTCAACGTCAAATATTTATTAAAAATTTTTTTAGAACCTGTTCGTTTGCCATCGTACTAATAGTAAACATAAGAAATACAGTAAATAAGAATATTGCTACATGTATGAAAATTAGAAGCATGTAGCGGTTTAAAAGTGTAACAGTAAAACATTAATTGTAAAGTAGAAGAAACTGAAGAAGCAGAATTTTTCATGAGCTGTGTCGTAGTCAAATGACTCGGTCCGGTAGCTACTGAATACTCAGTTCGCACTCTGTTTGCAGCGGTCTATATTAACAATCTCAAGAAACAACCAATATTAACACTAATGACTTCAGCTGAATCGTGTCAAAGTTCAAAAGGTGGTATGAAGTAGTCCAGCTTGCTGAACATTATTTGCACATAGAGTTGAATGGGAGCAGCAAGTTCTAGAATTCTGTGGCGACACTAAAGCAAGAAGCATTGACGTCATATTAACTATTCATATTCATATTGACTTCTTTGACAAACCATTGTTTTATCATTAGTTTTACGTGCTTTCGTTTTTCTAGGTGTGACTGCTTGAATTCTCATTAAAACTAATATTTAGGTTTGATTCCGAATGGCAAGGGTCGAGGTTCGCCAACGAAGCAGAGGATTTTTTCAGGCCAGTTCCAGACGAATGGATTTGGACAGTTGGTGCGTAGCAACGTTAGCTCGCAGGAGCTGAGGCGCCCATTTTACCCGGGAGAAAGCTCAGCAGACACCAGTCGTACGGGTACATCGGGCATCGGCTCGCTTAGCCTAATCAGTACTGATCGTGGTCGAAGCTCCAACTCGTCGTCGTTAGGTACGATAACGTAATTTTTTTGTATCCCCACTGTTTCTAACCAATGACTTGAGGTTACCAAACGAATCGCTCTGATTCGCCGTATTACGGTCGCAACGTCCGCTTGGATCACAACACGTTGAGCGAGATGTCCGGCGAAATGACCGATGATCACATGCGCGCCAGCGATTTCCTTCCAAAGATTGGCGATGGTCAGTTCTGTAAATTAGCGCCCACCGACGTAGCGTCCGGCTTTCCGTGCAAGCGCGATTCGCAGCACCACGACGTTGGTTACCTGTCGACCTACAATGACAAAGTGGTTGAAAATAAGTCTGCTCGCCTGTTCTGCCCAGATGCGGCACAGGATGATCTCTTTGCCACGTTGCTGCTCAAATGTGGCACTGGCAAGGCTAGTGCCACCTGCATGACCAAAGATGTGCCCCTCCCAAACGTGACGGTCACCACGGACATGATGTCCCGTTTGGTGGCCGACTGCTCTGACTCCGGCGGCAAGAAGCTCGGTGCCGCAAGAAAAGGCGCCCATTTGCAGCTGTTTTCCAACCTTAACACGGTGAAGCCCGTCGGCGGCACCTGAGGCAAAAGAATTTGCTTTTGAAATTGTACCATTGGTTTTATTCCCGTGCTGTTTATTACGGTTTTATCACTCTTTATGGATGCTATTGAAATGCTTAATAAATAGGCGTGCGCACATGTCGTCACAGCATTTTGCCTGAGGCTGGCAACAATGTTGTAGAATCCCGCTTATTTCGCTAAAAGAATCATACAATTAATATACATATACTTGAAAATCGTGCATCACTTTTTTATACAGGAAATTGCGTTTTGCTGCTGCAAATCACAGATGGGACGAAAATTACAAATGTAAAAAGATACGGACATTGTTGGTTCAATCATCAAAATAACAGCTATATATGTTCGTCAAAATCTGACATTCGGTGTTACGGCCTAAGCGAAGCATGGTTAAAAACAAACTGTCTCTTCGATTCGAGTGCTTCGGGTAGAAGCTTCAGAAGATTTTTCGAATGGTTCTCTTCCGCCTGTGAGGTCGGGTTCAACTACATAGTGCAGGAAGGTGTTCAATAGAATTGAGCCATCAGGCGCAGCTCGAGACACATGCATATGACCAGCCCTGTTATAGGGATACTTTAAACATCTGGGCCGCGTAACCAAAATAATGTTTATATTCAAAAAGAGTGACAACTGGAAGTTCATTCTGTAAAAAATATAATTCTTAGTAAAGTTATGTAGCTGTACGCGGCCCATTTTGCAGTCCATTTTCTGAATTTAAGCAATGAAAAACGAATCTGTTTTGCATCAGAAACATAGAAGCTCTATTTGAAAGTGTTAAGCTATTTCTAAGTCCTCGCCATTAATAAAAATGGATCGTACAACTCGAGAGATTCGAAAAGGATGGTTTCAAAATTGTTTTTGGAGTTCATTAATGCTCAATAACTAACCAATTGTAACGCCATATCCTAACAACTGGTCTTTCCATCCATTCAAACAACTAGCATTGTACCTGCGGTAACACGCGTAATCCTGCTGCTTATAGAAAAATATATTGCAGAACCATGGGAAACGCGGTACCACGTTTTAACTTCTCCTGGCGGTTTCCTCAAGACTGGTGAATGTCTAATTTCATCGCTGCTGATCCTGTCAAGCGAAATTACTAAAATTTTACATATCATTTATGATAACTGTAATGCAAGACTCAGACAGGCAGAAAGAGAGCATACTTACGACAAGAATATAGATAATCTTAGTGCAATCACCAACAAGTCTCGAAAAAGGACCGGAAATGCATGGAAACGTGCAAGAAAATCGAATACTTTTCATTCGGACAAGTCTGTCATCCAACAGAATGTCAGAAATATTCGCGATTAGAAGAAATGATAAGTACGCGATGCGCATACACGAACCACGAGTGGTGGGCAGCTGTGTCCGTGATCGAAAATGACTTACAACTGACTGCCAATGTAGGTTCACCTTTGGGTAAATAGAAAACAAGCGGAACGACATTAAAGGAACAGTCTCTGTCATAAAACAAACAAGAAGATTATCTGGACCATTCGGGCGCTTTTCTCTAGGATTACATAATATGCTTCATTATCACACTAGATACAATTACATAATGAGGTATTAGATGGATCTGACAAAGTACAACTTTCAGAGGTTTTCATATCATAAGACATAGTCGTACATATCGGTGATTTCAACAGTCTTCCTACTGTTCGCAAGTCAATGACTTGCAAATAGTTCTCCAGTTGTTGCACCTATGCAATGTAGGGCAAATTCCTTGCACGAGAGAATTGATGGCAAGGAAAAGGTCCGTTTTTAAAATTATTCCGAAGTTTCAAGTATGAAACGGGACGGAGAACGGGTTCAAAATCATACTTCCAAAATATATCATTGAAATATGTTTTTTAAATTTATCCATTATCTGCTTCTCATCATTATAGATGCGCCATATACGAAGTAGTTGTTTGTCAATTTCATCTTCTGTAACCGCTCTGTTTCGTCGCCTCGTGGAAGCAGACGCGTGCGGTGCATCAAACGTTTCCGATCCTGCACCAGAGTCAGAGCATCGGCACAAGACAACAGGAATTACAGCAAACTTCTTCGGAACATTCGCATTAAATTAATCCTAGCTGTCTCCTAGTCTTCGGCCGGTCGTCTGGGTAAGAAACTAATGCTTGCGATTCTTTCTGAAGGAATTCGCGAAACATGCCCAAATCACCGCAGCCGCGAATTTTCGTTCTGAAGAAGCAGCAGCTGCATAACAAGGACACATAAAACGCAGGTAAGCATGAAGATGAAGATAGACTTGATCACCCAGAGCATAGTTTTCAAACTTAGCTCTGCTTCAGTCACAACTATTCGGGCTCGTTCACGCAGAGCACCACTGGATACTACAAATCGCCGGTCGAGCTCTTCCTCAGATTTTCTATTGCAAGTAAATATTACTCCAAAATACTTGAACTTTTCAACTCCATTTCCGTTTATCTGAAAAGAGTGACGGGCAGGAGAACGAGAAAGCACTAGGCTTTTCGCTTTACAGGGGTTCACACCCATATCGGTCATGATGCACTCGCCTGCTAACCTTTCCAGGGAGCACTGCCAATCAGTTTTAGATGTCAATAAAACAAGGCCGTCTGTAGACACCAGCCGTCTCATCGTGATATCTCCAACACTGATACAGTCATCACCTGGCCATTTTATCCATGTACAACACAAAAAGATGGTACAGAATGCATCTTTGGCAGCGCCAACGCGGAAAAGTTTCCATACCTGAATATTTCCATTCTTTGCAAGAATACTGGTTGGTTCCTTCAATTAGACGTTTGAACTTCTAGAATTTTGAAAGAAAGAAAACCTCCTATTATTAGCACCTCTCATGTCCTTCTACATAACTCTCGAGATCTCGCGACTTTATGCATTCAATATACATATAAGGGACGTCCGTGTCTAAGTTCAAAGATGGTGCAAAAATCTGACAAGTTTAATGGACAGCTGCTTGGAACAAAACACTATAATTTTTCAGTAGTTTCGTGAATTGCTTTAATTACTTAAGTATTTACCCCAGATACGCTACAGTTGGCAAAATAGGTTATGCAAAATGTGCTTGATTTTCAAGTTACATTAAAAACAGCTACAGGTGTGGCGCGTCCGGCAAGATTTGGTGTTGCAGCTGCGACTGCATTAGTAGGTTCTCGCTAGCGACTTTCCTTTTTTGCTTAGTAAATGTTATAAGTGACGTTAGTGTTATTCAGGCGGCATCTGCAACCCGAGACCGAGACTGTTAGCTGTACAACTCGTGCTTGCGTCGTTGACAGCAGTTGCCAGACCAGGAAGTACGAACGAACATGAACTCGGTGGTGCGCAAAATTATTAGCACGTCCGCTGCTCCGAAGACTATCGGACCCTATAGGTACAGTTTCTCATTTTTTTTGAGCGGCATTGAAAATAATCCTCTTCCGTTGTATCGTACTGTTCTTTTCCGTACTACTACCCGCTGTAGAAATTTATTTCTTTAGTAATTGTAGGTACGGTTGATATTTGCTCGTTCATCAAATGGTTTATAGGGTCGATACCCACATATTCTGTAATTTCTCATTCTGTCTATAGGGATAAGTAGCTTTAGTGCCTAAGGCTTCTTTTCCCGCCAAAATTGCGATATGTTGCTGGGTGCGTTGGTTATGCAGCTGTTTTTAATGGACCGCCAAGTAACATAGTTAAGTTTTTCATCGTATCGATAAGTAAACCGATATTCTCGATTTCGCAACCGCCGTTGTAGATTCCGGTTGTTAGTGATCGTTGTTCTTTACAACGTAAACTTGTTATGATTTTTCTTTGAGTTTTTCACTTTTTCGGATTAAGTAAACGTTGTTTCAATAAATCTTATTCTGTTATTTTTAAAATTTAAAATATTTTTTAGCCAAACTGTCGATTCTTTTAGTCATAATGCGCTATTCACGATGCCTGATGAGCTGAAATCGTTTTACCGGACGGAGGTTAAACTGTTTTACCGAGAGGTGAAACAAAAGTTTTGCCGACACGTCAGATACTAAAGGGAAACCCCAAAAATGAAGAACTTAATAATATTCAAATGAAACGCTCGGATAATTGAACCAATCGTCACTGTTAAGCGACCTGTAGTTCGATAACATGGCCGAATAAGCCAATGATCAAAAGACAATGGTTCAATTAGGGAATGGTATAGTAATGGGAATAACGCTATAGCTTGTTTTGTTCTTTTTTCTAAACGGCTGTCGCTACCGCGTAAACGACTGCTCGACGCAACTCCTCAAAAATACTTGTCAGGACTTAGTAAAAGTTCTTTCGTCGCAAACTCAGTGCCTGTGTCGCTGGTCGGTCATATGATTACCAAATGGAGCCATGTCTGGTGACACGGTGACATGTTGAGTTGAGAGCATCGTCGCAATCAGAGAAGTTTAATAATCGTTAAAAATAGGCAGTCACAAAGCGCCGAAAAATAGACAGGAAACGGTCAACCCCAGTTCCATTGAGGAAACTGTTTTGTATGTTTAGAAAGGTAGGTGGACTGACTCCATTACATTCGCCTTACGTGAATGTGAAATGGGAACACGGGTATTTTGCAAAAGTTGGTGACTGATCCTAGCTAGTGAGGGAAGCATTAAAGATGTGTAAAATCATAAAGATCATTCGCCTTTAATGGTTTGCGGGACCATTATAAAATTTGCTACGAGAAAACTCGTGAAGTCTTGTATATCAGGTAGGTAATGGAAACTTTTTAAATTACAGTCCACATGTTAAATGCAGTTGTGTCTGAAATGGGCTTTCTGCGACGAAACGCTGGGTTCACGCTCCTCAGTATGTTCCGGAGTACAGATATCCGGGAAGGCAGTGGTGTACAATGACTACCTCCTAGGATTGAGAAGTCGTAGCTGCGATGGTTTGGACAAGTTTTGTGAATGCATCAAGAGAGAAAGGCGAAGCAGGTGCTTTTTGTTAAATTGACCGGTCGAAGACCCCTTTGGCGGCTAAGAATGATTTCTCAGAAGTATCTCTATAAATTCTGTTTTAAACTCAAGTTATCTTCTGTCGATGGCACAGACCCTGGCACAGGGTCGGTAATGCCGGAGATTCTTTGGCGCATCTGTCTCCAACATCCTAATGGATACGCAGCAATCGAGACGGACTGACCGACCGACTGACTGACATCTGTTCTTAACGTAAACGGTCATAGGTAGGGTAGCAGTAATAGTCTTTCGCGGACTTAACTGAATATGGTAGCTGTTCGTGTGGGGCTTATCAAAGTAATCCTCCCTGAAGAACTGTTAGTTACTCTATAAAGCCTTAGTATAGATTTCATCTATCGAAAATACTAGTTTTAATTTTGACTAATCCTGTACAAATTTTACCTTACACGGATTTCAGCATTTCAGAGTTATTATAAACAGAAATAATCTGCTATATAAAACTTGTGAAATGCTAATGTAGGACTTAAATGGCGAAAACCTCTTGTTTATTCCTAGTTGTTCATATTTACCGGCGAGAATATGACGACTATTTCTGGTTGCTACCCCTGAACATCTGGATTATAATTTGTTTCTTTGCTACATGCAATATTTATATATGTTATAAATATAGATTCGCCAAGGAATAGTACAGTTTTATTGATGCTTGAAGACACCCTTGTTCATTCTAAATCAGGCACACGGTCTTGCCACCGATTCACGCGCTTAAATACCGTGATCTGCTTAAATGGTCCTCCTAGGTTGCTAAACGCAAATTGGCATACCGACAAAATTAGAAAGCTACTATTCGTGATGGCTACCTCAGAATATCAGCGTTATTTATCATTTTGTTTACATGGCTGGCAGAGAACTTTGTCTCTACAACGACTTTTATGTTATCACCGTTATTAGCTTTGGTGAAGTTTTTTCTGTGAGCAGTGCAAGATTTTGGGAAATCGTAAGATTGGATGCTAGTCGTGTATCATCTTCTGGTTGCGATAACTGTACAGTCGACAGCTAACAGTAACATCAGTATCAGGGTTTCGTTCTAAAGGCGGTTCGTTGTCACCGACTCTATTCTGTTTTTGAAGAAGCTCTGGATGCAAAATTTCGATTATCGGGCATTTAGAGGGCAGATTCATAAAGCGTTGGAGATGTGGTGTTATAGATACCTGTTACGAATGTTCTGAACGAATTTGATTACCAGTGTCTGGTTTTAAACCTGACTTTCAGAGGTCACGTTTGAAAAAATATTCTACAGCGACTACTGTCGTCTGTTTGTCATCTCATTAGAAAAAGTGAATGTTTTGAGAAAGAGCTGCCCAAAACTTGAATCCGGAATCTAGACCGATAAGATGACTTTGCCGGGTGGCAGCGTCGTAAAGTGGGAGAAAAGAAATCTCCCTGACACCATATCGTAAAACGCAGTAAAAATCGAATGATTAGCCTCATAATAATACGTCATGCCATTTATTAGATGAAAAAGGAAAACAACGGATATAATTGTTTTTAGTCGCTTAGTTGAATTATAGCCGATAGCTAATTAAGATTCGTCTCATCTGCTGAGCCCACCGTTTCGCATTTTAATGTTAGAACGTGCTTAGTGCGTCGGCGAAAGAACGATTCCTCATCAACAGCAGACATCCCCCTTCGCTTAGTTACCTCAGCAGCAACGTGATCAGCTAGCCTCCAACCTTTCTTCGTTAATAAGTGATGAGCAGCGAAATCAGTTGACTCCCAGTAAATGGGAGTAGTAAATGGTGCCAGTAAATGGTCGACTTATCCTCTGTAATCTCTAAGTATGTTTAATATGTATATGAAGTGGACTGAATCGTAACACGGTCATTTCTGATATGAATGTATCGTGGCGGTCTCGTTACTTTGAGGAACAGTTTGGCTGGGAATGTGAAATAGAGTCCTCTGTCTGTTTTCTATGCGGTCCTTAGATGTGTTAACCATGCCTCTGATTCAGGGAAGACGGAAAGTGCTGGACGACAAAGAACCGTCCCTCATTCTTAAAGCCGGTTGGCCAACTGCATGTACTACCGCTAAGAAACACGCTGTTCCTGGAAATTCGTTGGCTGTAGTAAAACTAGTATTGACCGCAACGAATATTTGTATGTATGTTATGTTATTATCGAGATAAAGTGTGCCGTGGGGTCGTTGTACCATTGTATCCTCAGCATGAATTGTAACCAGTCTTATAAGATAATTTTCGTTCAGGGTTCATGTGCTCTTGTATAATCAGTTGCTTTTGTTCCTACTCGGCAGCAAGCCCAACTTGACTACGGAGATTGATCTTGGCGATAAATGGTGTATTCTCCATTCCATTTAGGATCTTGTGATGGTGTTAACAGCCAGATCAGCCCTTCTGTTAACATCCACCATCATTCGACGAACGAAAGTAAATGTATGCCTTCTGTAACAGACTAGCTTTGTGGTTTATGCTAGTGTCGTCACCGGCGAAAACCTGCTTTTAACGATGCGTTGTTCTGATTTTCTGTACTAGTTTCATTTCGATCACGTTCCTGTGACGGTCTAAATAAAACGTTTTATGTTCTACTGTTGACAAATGATATGGTTGAGTTTTTGCCCCCAACAGAGAATGATGGGGCAAACCGCTGGTTCAGAGAGATAATTATCTGCGGCACAATC